AAGAGAGAACAGGAGCGAATGGAGTCAGGAACGTGTAAAAGGCTTAGATATATAAAGTTCGTTATACACTGGAAATAAAAAATTACAAATTGGAAATTAGAATCCATCCAATCAGAAAAGATTAAAATTGAATTTACAGTGGAATTCAAATTTTTAGTTCACAATCCGCAATCTTGAAATGTGCAGTCATGCACAGCAGAAAACATGTACTTAACGATTGTTAACACAATCCTTGTTAAAATTTTTATGCTAAATTTTTAACACATCACTGTGTTAATTTAACACAGTGTGATTGTGTTATTTAAATATTTTGTGTAAATTGATGTTTAGTATTTCTTAAAGTAATAAATAAGTTAAAACAATATAATTTATGAGTAAATGAACAAACGTAACAATAATGTGATTTTAAAATATAAATTCAAACATGCACAGTAAAAAAACATTTTGTATTTATATTAGAAACGGTCCAGTCAAGTCTTTATTAAAATTTTGTGGTGAATTTTTAACATATACGAGTTAATTTAGTATAATGTAATTATGTTATTTGAATATTTTGTGTTAAATCGATATTCGACATTTCTTACAATTAGTATCGAAATAACACAATTTATGAGTAAGTAAATAACACATAAACGTGTTTTAAAATTCTAGAATGAATAAATAAAATATGTGTTAATTTAATACACCATAAATGTTCATTTTACTGAAAAAAATGTTTCCACAGTTTGCTTACAAATTATGTCAGTGTTACATTTTTCGTTAATTTTTTTACCTAATATTTGTGTTACTTTCTAACATATTTATCTTGTGTTAAATTAACACAAAAATTTAAGGACTGTTTGGAATATGTGAAATGTTTTCAAGACAAAATTTTCTAACTGTGTAGTCTGATACGATCTTTACGGATGAGGGCTCACGGGAGAAAGAAAGAAAGAGTAGAAGAGAGAGCGCACAAAGGTATACAGGAAGTGGTACAGCATTGCCGCAGGGAAGGACGCCGAATCTGGGCCACAATTACAAGAGGCCGACGTTGCGCCTCTCCTTTCCTCCAGTAGCGACTGGCGCCGCGGTTACATATACGCTCTCCCGCTTTCGAAATAATAATTATTTAATACCCGAAGCAAACAGTGAAATGCTGGACTCGACTGAGAGAAAGAAAGGAAGAATGAGAAAGAAAAAGAAAGAGGGGGACCGGTTTCCTTTCGGCTTCCCACTTCGTGACAGCTTCCGAGAGCCGGTAGCACTGCAATGGCAAGAGCAATAAAAGGCACAAAAACAATACCTGTAATTTTCGAATGAACCAAAAACACGGTCTCGATCGAAGCCTATCATGACCGTTATGGACCGTTATCTCGATCTTACATTGAAAAAAATGATTGTACCAATAAAAAGTACAAACAAAATGAATTCTAATCATACAGATCAGAATTCTGGTTATCGTAATTGAATTTCTGATTATTTCGACTAGATTGTTTGATAGATTTATAAGTGTCTGATTTGTACTCTTTTGGTTGAATCTATAAAAATTTCAATTAACTATTCGATGCCCTTCTTAGTCATACTCGAGATTTTTTTACTTTTGCTGCAACTTTTTTATTAATGAAGGCACATACATTTGCTTGTTATTATAATATTTCTTGATGTCTAATGATTTAATTGAAAAGAAAGTGTTAAATGTTCATTTTTATGCGATATTTTTCACAATATCCAGTTATATATAACATGACACATCAGTATAAAGGTACTGAAGCGTTAATGCAACAAGACTTTTTCAGAGTACACAGAAAGAACGGTTTCGCTAAAGTCTAAAAATTTAATTGGATACAGATCTGACAATGTGACAATAATTTTATTAGACAAAATAATTATATAAGACGCTGAACTGATTGCTAGAATCTCAAAAGTTTTTGCAGCATTGCTCATTATATTTGAGTTTCCTACATAATCGTTTTGAATCAAAACTTTTGATAGGCCAACAAAATTATTTTCAGATCTACACAGTAGGAAAAAATGTGTTAAATTTAACATAAATCGCATGTCCCAAACGGTCCACTCAAATTTTTGAGTTAATTTGACACAAGATGAATATGTTAGAAAGTAACACAAATATTATGTAAGAGAATAAATACAAAGAAAGATAACATCGACACAGTTTGTAAACATACCGTAGGAACATATTTTTTTCAGAAAACTAACATTTATGATATGTTAAATTAACACATATTTCATTCATTTGTCTTAGAATTTACGTTAATTCAACCGTATTAAAATCGTAAGCAACGCAAGCAATTAATAAAGCAACGACCGGATAAAAGGATCGACATTAACATACAACTTTCCGAGATACTGCGGCAATTATCGTGTCAATGTCGTTCTATGCCAATCAGACATGAATAACCGAGAGTAATCTCAACGAACATTTACATATTCCGCCTCTAGGAATATTCTGCGGAAATAGAGGGAAAGTGGTAATACAAAGGCAAAAAAAAAAGCAACTTCCATACCGTGAGCAGTTGATCGAACAATCCATGCATACAGTTCGAAAACGGTATACGCCTCAAAATTGCCACAATCATGATAGAGGCGGATAACAAAGCGCTCCACGGCAGAACACTGTTTATACCGTATTCGTTATGCGTGACTCATTGAAACGACGCGATGTATCGACGTCAAGCCTCCGGGCTTCAGTATGCAGCTGCTCATTTGAGGAATGCAGAAAAAAGCGCGCGACATTCCTCGCGGCGCTGCCCATATTCGTTCCGCAACAGGTTTCAAATTATTCTTGGTCCTCCCGTTACATTCCATCCCTTCCAATGCATACCTCCACCCCGATACCGATCGTTGAAAATATAATTAATTCAAGAATAATTTACCTTCAACAATAATCAGAGACTCCATTGCAATCTTAATTTCATGACGTATTTCAGCGATGTTATGAAGAGGCAGAAAAAGATGTTATCGGATTTCAATTTCGTTTTATCTTTGCGCAGAAAAATTGATTGCTCCGAGATCCTCGCGGAGAGCGAAAATTAAAAAATTTGTGGCTTTATTAAAAAGAAAAACTGATTGTACAATACAAATGACTACAAATATTGTATAGTATATAGTAATTCAGATTGAATTATTTAAGCATTAAAGATTTATCTTTGACCGTTAGAGCCATTACTTCTATTCCTTATTGTTGAAAAACTGGTGTTGTAATTATAAGTAAAATAATTATGGTTAAGAATTTTTATAATTGTCTTAAAAGTTTCTCTTAAAAGTCTCGGTGCTAAGAGTACGCGCCGATATATGTGTAACATTCGTATTTTCCATTAACAAAACTGTTTTGGTTCTTTTTCTCTATAATAAAGACATTTTGTTCATCACTCTCTATCGCGTTTCCGCTAGTAAATAATGATCTCTCGTGCCACTTCGTTAATCTCGACAAATCCCAAACGACTTGATGCGATCTGTTTACCGGATAGTGCACTTAAACTAACAATCTATTGACGTCGATTGTTAAATACTGCACGTTTTCCACTGCGAATAATCGGAATAGCTTAGTGGCTGGTGAAAGCGCGACCATCAATGGCAAATTAACGTGATAATGCTCACAAGGAGTTGCTTCTAGTTGTTATATATCCCTGCAGTCGTGAACCCTCGATCTCTACGTAAGTGCAATATACGCGCATGACATAATCTTAGATTCAATGAGATGCGATACTCGCGCAAGTGACATTACATAATCATCCTCGTTGCATAAGCTAATGAAGGCTGCGAGTAGAACAATCGTTCCATCAACATTCGAGCTCGATTCCGATGGCAAAGAATTTCTCGAGGAACTCGTAAATTTGTTTATCGATGAATGCAATTAGCGATGCGATTATTATTCAACAAATATATGATTAACGATCTCTTCTTTATTGCAAAATAGAAAAGTAACGGCGTTCGAAACTCGTAACGATGTACACAAATAAGCCGAGTTATATCATCGAAATGTCCAATACGTTAACTGAGGTTTGTCTTCCTCTTCCTCATTCTATTGTCGTGGCCGCCAACATGTCATTACAAATCACACGCAGTACGAATATCGTAGAGCAAGTAATGATATACGCATATACATCGCGTGATTATGACAACGTCAATTCGAACAGACAAAGACCCGGATAAACAAATGTTACTGACGTCGACTCTTATCCCGGTAAAAAATTTTTCATGCATGAATATATATAAATATGTATAAACGTACATAAATACTCATATATATACATATATATAGTTATATATGAAATATATCCATACATGTCCATATATCCTTTTTTTTCTAAAATTATTTATTAGTGTAATAAAAATAATAATAATAATGAAAAGACATTAAAAATAATTAAAAAAATAATTTTCGCACTATTTGTTTTAAAAGAAATCAAGTTTGGAAAAATTTTAAAAAAATTGCAGATATAAAATTATATGTAAAATTATACATAATTATGTATGAGCAATTTTTTTTACATTTCTTTAAACTTGATTTTTTCTAAAACAAACAATGCGATAATTATTCCTTTAATTATTTTTGACATTTTCTCATTATTTTTATTACACTAAAAAAAATAATTTTACAAAAGAAAGAAAGATGTATGAACATGTATGAACATATTTCATATATAATTAGATATGTTCATGAATATTTATACATATTATATTTATATATATTTATACATATTTATATATATTCATGCATGAAAATTTTTCTATCGGGACTTTAGCGTTATAGACGTTAATTTTAAACATATCTCTGAAGTTCTTAAGGTGCGTGATCATTTAGAAGTGAATCGAAAAATCCGTCCACTTCTTTTTGAAGCATCAGATAACAATTGGTTGAACATCGAGGTAAGCTTCAAGGTGATCTAAACATAAATGTGCGCAGTCAGTCTTGTCAAATATCTTTCCCCTAAATGATTGGAAGTTTCATTATCTCGCAAGAGTTCGAAGCAATTCGAAGGCTCTTCAACTCCCACCATCATTCTCAGCGCTTTTAGATTCAGCGATCATCCTTTCAAACATTTAGTAGTAATTTAATCCTCGTGCAACACGCAGTATTTGCCCAATATAAGCTCGACAAACAGTCGTAATGTTCGTTCAACAGTTTTGCATGCGTTCGTAGTCCAGTGCGCTCGCAACATGTTTCCGTAATAATCTTCGATATATACATATAATATATATTTTTTTTTTATTTACTATCAAAGCAATCCGTTTGTTTGGAAAAGATTGCACTGTAGTTTTAAGTGGCGATTGAATATAAAAAGATAAATAGAAAACTCACCATCGTGATTCAAACATTAGTACGCGATATTAGCAAATTAGCGACATTGTGCAAATTATTATCGATCGCGTCGGTTTTTTTTTACAGGATGAGGAGGAGCGGCATGAACGGACGAGGAGTCGGCGACAATGGCGAAGGAACTTTGATCCTGCTCCTCGTCGCATTGACTCCTGTTATCTGCTCCGCCGGAATCCTGGACCCTTGGCAGTGGGCGCGCAGCGATCGGATCGAAGTCAACATACCTTGGCTACCTTGTAATTATCATACAGATTAGATAAAAAATTCGATCGCCGTAACGTTAGTATATTTTTTTTCTTCTTTATAATGTCCAAGATAATATGTATACACTGTCGGCCAAAAGTTTGAGACCATTAATTAAAAATTCTACTCTATGAATAATATACAGACTAATATAATTGATATATAATTAATATAATATAATAACATATAATTTAATATATTTTTATTATATAACATGTATATATTATAACATATAATATTCATACATTTTATAATATAATTATGTTAATATTAAATTATATAATATGATTATATAATATAATTATATAATATAATTACATAATATAAATAACATAATGTTAATTTTTGTGTTATTTCATTCAATATTTTATAATAAAATGAAAAATAATATAAAATGTTTGAAAATTTTACAAAACATATTTTTATCAATTTTTTTTACAATAAAAGCACTAAATATTAGATTCCTTTTTTTATCAAAGTAATCACCCTAACAATTAACCATATTGTTTTATTAATCTAGATAATCTAGATAAAACACAATATTCTTAGAATGTTATATGAATATTAAAAGGATAAATAATATTCATACAACATTTTAGGAATATTGCATCTAGATCTAGCTACAAATTCATTTTTTTCTGACAGAAGACTTTTCCATTCATCTTCTAAAATAATCAACAGCTATGTGAAATAGTTTAATTTTAGAAAAAAGCTCTATTACAATAATGCATTTTCTTAAAATTGAATAATGCTACGTTAATCATGCCTATAATTTACTTTCAAATTAAGAAAAAAAATTAAGTAAGACATGAACCGAACTTTTAAATTATGTTTCACTGAAATATTCTTAAATTTTATACAGGATTTCGAACTTTTGATCGGCAGTGCAATATACGAAATATATGTATATTAAAATTTGTTATTTTTTACACATCTCTTGTGGGCTGCCAGCTATGAAATTTTTCTTGTTGTAAACTAGATACATATTTATAAATATAGAATAAAATTTAGTTAAAACGTTCAAAATTAACGTAATCACTGAAGGGACAATTTCTTCCAGTTGAAAATGAGACACGTTGCTACGACGAGTTGGGCTGCCTAAACATCACCAGGAGCTGGTATCACCTCATTCATCGACCTCTCAACGTTTTCCCGTTACCGCGAGAAGTCATTAATACCAGATTCATCCTCTACACGAATCAGAATCCTTTGGACGTGAGTAAAATGCTTCGCAATAATAAACAGCAATAAATTAAACTAGACCGCTACATAATCAATCAAATAGGTAAAGAAAGTAAAATAAATAAAGGCTAAATGCAGTCAAGTTAGATCTTGATGCCTATAATAATATTTATATGTAAATTTTAAATACATCTTTCAGTTATATCCCCCTTGAGTTATTTAACAAAAATAATATTTTGTTATTTTTAATTTCCATATGTGTCAAAATATAAATTAATCCATTTCTGTGGTTAGTTTCAAAATTCAACACGAACTATTAATAAGGTAAATGGACCGTTTCCAATACAAATACACAATGTTTTTTACTATGTAGAACGTGCCTTGAAGATCTAAATCTAAACAGTATAGATTCGGGGTGGGCGTCTTTTTAGTTTTAGATAAAAATCGTCTCGAAAGTACATATTACGTTTTGGCTGTTAACGCGAAAGTGAAACCTGGGTGAAATAGAAATAGATCAAAATTCTCCGACGACTGGAATTTCATGGCTAGTAAATCCGATGCGACGTAAACGCTTCCGCATATAAATATATGGATAACAATGTACATTGAGAAATTGTATTGAAAGAGTCCGTCTGTCTTGCAACAAGAATAACCGAATAAAAATATCCTCCATCATCTTGCCTCTTATCGCGTATAGGATCAGCCATCGATATTGAATCCAATGGATATCTTAATTGACTCCATTAATTAAACGAAATCACACGTATCAGTATGCAGGCAATGGTGCAACATGGCACACGCGCACTATTCTTACGTGTGCGAAGATAAGATCTCTGATTTATGAATTAATGGATATCCAAGGAGGAAGAGAGCCGTTGGTCTGTGCGAAGTATCGAGCGTGATACATTAGCAGCGCGCGGTGAAATCACATACCTCCACTACATAACTGCGCACGCAAACATATATCATTCACTTCGCATAAAATCGCTGAATCGTGAAATTAAAATAAATACTTTTGCATATAGGCTTTACGATTGGCGGAATTGGCAAATATTGGATTGAAACGAAAGTTCGTAGCTCTACATCGAACTTAAATATTTAACTAGCTGTAATTTCATTAAAAACGAACAAAATTTAAATTAAAAGAAAAAGTTTTAAAGCTTTCAAATCAATACTTTTGAAAGATCACTATCTTTTTTTAGTTCCTGTGAATTTGATCATTTGTACACATAGAAAATTACAAACTCAAACAAAATAGGAAATTTTCTTCTCACTCTATAGGCATGTTATATGCCTAAAAAAAACTTGAGAAAATTTTTGACTTTTTAAGGTGAAAAGTTAAAATCTTCGCTACGAAACCTTTTTTTAAAATATTTCTAAAATTTTTGTTATTGAAAATTCGCGGATTAAATAAAAGAAATAGAATTTTGACTTTGATTATTGTTACGATTCCGTCCGACGATAAAAATCTACTGCAATTTAAAAAACAGATTCTTAAAGCTGAAATTTGCACTTTGCTTTCGAATGATATAATTGTCAATTTAAAAAAAAACATATAGACAATACAAATGAAGCAGCTATGTATTTTATTCCAAATTCAATACAAATCCGTGATATCTCGCAAGACTTTTTTGCTAATATTTTTTTCTTGGAAATAAATATGCGCGTCTATATATGAATGCAATTCTTGCAATTAGCATGCATTTGTCCTTCTCAGTAATAATAATAATAATAATGTACATGCGTCACGCGCTTGAAATTTAAAATTGACATAAATGGTTTTGAACGAACTCTTCGAATAATTGACTCTTTTACAGATGTGTACGTTTAATAACGTCCAGTCATTTTTCCCCCAGGGTCAAATATTAAAAGTGGCTAAGAATAAATCCATCGAAAACTCGAACTTCAATCCTAAGCGACAAACCAAATTCATTATACATGGCTTTATAGACACTCCACTTAGCAACTGGGTCAAGGTGAGCTTTATCCTTTTATTATTCCTATACAGATACTCGTTTATCGTCCTAGATTTTTATAGAAATCCTTGCGTTATATTCTCAATCAAACTGTCATACTCATAATACCAATTGCATGTATGTACCAAAGACTAGCCTACATCGTGCATCTTCATCGCCCGACCATCGTCGTCTATTGCGAGCTAGACGTATTGGTAAAGAAATGTACTTTTCTGCTACATTGCGTCAGTGTTTCAAATAGATATTCGCGACCTAGTGACACAATTACATTTGATGACAGACGCAGTTCTTAAATAATACGCGAAAATTACCGCCAGTTATTTACCCACAAAATATACTCGTAGGAAATGAGAAGTGAGCTGTTGGTGCATGGTGATTACAATGTTATCGTGGTCGACTGGGCTGGTGGGAGTCTACCTTTGTACACCCAAGCGACAGCAAACACGAGACTGGTTGGACTCGAAATAGCTCATCTCATCAAGCATTTACAAGTAAGAGATTTTCTTAGATTATATCCCATTAATCCTTCATTATCCGCGTGTGTCCAAGTCACTCTAGATTTCTAAATTCACTAAATATATACAAATATATACAAACGCTAAATATATAAGTATGTCATTTATATATGTTATTATAATGTAATCCACTTAATGCTACAAGTGTTGCGAAACATTTAATTGACTAATCAAAAAATCTCCAAAGCATTTGTAGCATCAAGTATGACATAAATTGTTTTACAATTAAAAAAATTGTTTTGCATTTATCTTTATCTAAAAAATGTGTAGAATATCATTAATCTTAATTTAATTGTAAATCTTCAAAGAGAAGTATGAAGATTGAAATGTAATATTGGATGTCAGAAACACTCCACATTGCAGTTCACATTTAAAAAACCCATGTAAGTAATGTACGATTAAGTAACTTTTTTGCCCAGAAAAGTTTTGTAATAATTAAAGTCTGTATTCAACAATTGAAACTACTGTATTTTTTTAAACTCACAGCAATACAAGTAAAAATTACATTTTTTCAAAATTGTTAAAAGAAAATAGCAATAAATAGAAAACAGTCGCAGTCGTTTTAAATCAGCACCGAAGAGGCTAAATACGCTACACATCGCAGACAATTAAAATAATATCACATCTTCAACACAACCGAAATAAAATATCACGGATGTGTTATCTAAAAAGATGAGTGACCTATTTATACCATCAACTTGTTTGAAGTTATGAAAATTAATTTAATGATAATTTGCGATACCATTTGAAGATATTTTTTTTAACTATATGACAGTAGCAAAAAATACTGTATTTATATATTTATTCTTATTTCTAATAAAATTTCAGACAAACTACGGTCTAGATCCGAACGATGTGCATTTAATCGGGCACAGCCTCGGTGCCCACACGGCTGGTTATG